AAAATTTTTCAGCTGAAAACCAAACATTTCTATTCAGAAATTGTGCCTCATGGGGGTTATAGTTTGCATGCGTCATGTCCCCGTTCCTATGGGCTAGAAGGCTCTCTAGCTGGACTACATCTTCTATGATGTACCATGGTTTCCTCTTTTGGTGAGCCATTGCGATGCACCATGGGAATCCCTGGCTATGGTGTGTTATGGGAAATGTAGTCTGGCTGGGGATATCAGCCCAAAGAGGAGAATGAGGGCATAAGTCACCCAAACTACAATTCCCAACAGACCTTGTGGCAGCATTTTGAAATAATTTTTTGGTTTGCAGCTAAAGACTGAAAAGTTTTCAGATGTTTTATTTTTTAATATGGTGTGATGGGGTGTGCATACCCCACACTGGGCAGGGAAGGGTTAATCCCACATTATGGACGGAGGAAGTTCTGTCCCTCAGACCATACTGAGCATGCTCCAGATGCTGCACTAGTATAAAGGAGAGCAGCCCAGCTCGGTCTGGGCAGAACACCAAGGAGGAAGGATGCTTGATGGAGGCTCCAGCCCAGGAGCCGTTAGAGCCCTTGCCTGCGGGAGCCAGAGATCCCGAGACCTGGACTGGAGATCTGTTGCCATCAGAGTCCCAGGGAGTTACCTGTGCCAAGGAGCCCAGAGACCCTGATGCCTTATGGACTGCAGCTTCAGGAAGCCCGGTAGGCAGTGACCCAGAGTGAGTGAATGGTATCTCCCACCATTTTAAGGTCAGCATGTTGCAGTTGGATTCCCCACTGGCCCATTGGCAGATCACTCTGATACTGTTAGAGCCCTAGGTTGGGACCCAGTGGGTCAGGTGTACCTGGGTCCCTCTGCCCCAGCCATCACCCCTTCTGTTGTTGGTCCTCTGGATCTGGCCACTAGGCTACACAGTCCTGCACTCGAGGGCTAATGTATTGACTGACTACTAGGCCACACTGCCCCATACCTGATGGCTGCTATAGTGATGCTGGCCACTAGCCATACTGCCCTGTACCTGAGAGTTGCATATTGATGCTGCCCTGCATGCAAGGGCTGTGGTCTTGACTCTGGGCATTAGGCCATGCAGCCCAGAACCCAAGGGATGCTGCTTTGACTCTGACCCTTGGATCTCATCATGCTGAGGCCCAAGACAGTCTGGTAGACAGTAACTGTGGTGTCAGCACACCTACTGCCCACCCCTACAGGAATCGGTGTGTGCATACACTGCCATACATGGAAACCAGAGAATTTTTGCAAAAATAAATAAATAAAATTGTTTAATCTATAACCCAATTTTCAGTCAAACTGTTTCAATGGGAAATTTTCAGCTAGTCCTGGTGCTGTTGACTTTGTATCATACCAGTATAGGCTTCCATCTGTCTCTGGTGTGCCTTGGGCAGCTGCCGGAAACGCTTATAGTGTCACTGGTAGCCCTTTCAGCCATTATGAGCATAAAATAAATAATGCTAACACCTAGGAACCCTCATCAAAGGTTAGGGTCCCATTGTGTTAGGCAGTGTACAGACAAATTACAAAGAAGACAGTCCCTGTCCTAGAGAAATGATGATCTAGGGTGTTGGAGAAGACACATCAGAAAAACAAGGACAGGGTAGGAACTGAAAAGGTGAAGTAACAATTAAGCAAATAGAGTTTAGTTTAAAAACTGATGTCTGAGCTATGACTGGAATGAGTAAGATCCCACCCACAATATCCAGGAGAGGGGTTAAACAAGTTAATGGGGCAGTGTGTTTCCCATGCTCTACCTGGGTGGTAGACAATCTGGCATCTTTCAGGAGCACTGTGTTAGCTTTGAACCTGAGGCAGAGGTGGGAATAAAGATTAATAAATATGTAAAGAGCACATTAAAAAATGTGAAACATTCTTCTGGACCATGATTGTGATATTTTATGTCAAGAAGCCAATCCAAGAACAGGGGAAGGCACACTTATTTATTTTCTTGGAAAAATGCCTTCCCCTTGAGAAGAAATATCTCTGAGTTTCCAAACAAAAAAGAAAAGTGGAATGATTTCCACCACCACCCCCAAGCTATTACTGAGAAAGAGGACCACAAAAGATGAAAAATAAGCTGTTTGAGTAACCAGGTTTCACAGCATCTAAGCATGTCCAACATTTTGAGGGCCAGCACAGGATTTTAAACATCAAACTCCTCTGTTCCACATGAATTTTTCAAACATGTGTGACACTTGTAGACCAGGTGCCAGCTCTTGCCAAGGCTGTAGGAGTCAGCTGAGCACTGACATTCATAGCTGGAAACCAGACCAGCTCACCAGTATATTAGTATTGTTCAAGATAGGTATTAAACCTGTAAGGATGTGTTTAGTGTTTTGTCTCTATAAAACGCTTCTAAGTTGCTGCATACATTAATCTTATTGTAATGTCTGGATCCCATGCTATAAGGCAATATGTAAGTTTTACTTTATAACTGTAAAAATGGCTGCTCTGAACTTCAGAATCCAGGCAGGAGGAGTGGTCTCCCCCACCCACCCATCAAGAAGGGCTATCAAAACTAATTGGGCCATTGTGAGACAGGCAGAGGCCCTGGAGGTTTTCCGCCTTCCTCCGCAGCATGGGGCAGGGGTCGCTCGCTGGGCAGGGGTCGCTTGCTGGAGGATTCTCTGTGACTTGAAGTCTTTAAATCATGATTTGGGGACTTCAACAGCTGAGTCAAGGGAGAGAATTATTCCAGGAGTGGGTGGGTCAGCTTTTGTGGCCTGCATCATGCAGGAGGTCAGACTAGATGATCATAATGGTCCCTTCTGACCTTAAAGTCTATGAGTCTGTCACAATACAAAGACTGGAATGACGGTCCTCTTACACCTATCAAGATGTTACATGCAAGAAAGCTAGTCCCTGTGGTCCTGATACTGCTCCAACGCATCCGAAAGTGGAAGGACCCCCAGGTGGCATAGCTCCATCAAGGGCAGGTTGGGTACCCTTATGCTGACTCCCCACATTCTGCCCTAACCCTGCATAGGGGACTAACACTGGTTTCTTCCAGGGCCCTTATTTTGGTCAAAAGATTTGGCCCTTAGGATCTACTGTAATGAGGAATTGTAGCCATTAGGATCTCTCATATAAATGGGGCGCTGGAGGCTGCTACCATCTGAAAGTGGTCAAGCAAACCCGACATGGTGCAGCCAGGTGTCTGCTCCACCAGAAAATACTGGCAACTTTTGATATACTTTGATGCAATGTGGTTCATTTCAACCATGTTGTATTTCTAAGCACAGCTTGGCCATTCTGTATAAATTTGTACATAATGAGACAAGTCTGGCCCAACGACCAAAAAGTCTGACAGGCATGGAGTGAAGGGCCATGCCTCCTCCCCTCCCAAAGACAGAGGGTCAACAAAAACATACTAATCAAATACTTACCTGATTTGGGGTTTGTTTTTCTGTACTATAGTTCTGTGTGTGTACATATACCTCTTGTTCCTCTTCTCTCTTGTGTTTGCTCTCTGTCCCCTTTAACATGCACTTTCAGCCCCATTCTCATCCGTCTCTTCTGCCCTCCGCAGAATTCAGCTCACAAGCCAAGTTCTGGTTGGAGCCTGTAAGAGTGCATGGCCATCCCTCCCTTTCAATCTCTGAGGAAGGCCACACCTCCTCACTGGCACACACCTGTGAGGGAGATCTAAAAAGGGGAATTAGCTGCTCCTAGTGTTCAGGGCCTGAGGCCAGGCAGAGCAATAAAGCTCAGTCAGGGCGGGATAGCAAATAGTCTACGGGGCTCTGGCCTGTAACCAGGGCAGAGCAACAACATCTGGAAGCCCCAGGCCCTCAGGCAGGGGGTGAGCACCAACACAGTCTATGGGGCTCAAGCAGGGGTGAGCACCAGCACAGTCTAGTGTCATGGCTCAGCGGAAGGTACACTAACATGGGCCTCTTGGCCTAAAGTGGAGAGGCTGCCACCGCAGGCCCACCCGACTCCACCACATCCCAGCCAAGAGCCTTAACAGTGGCCAAGTGTTCCGCCATTGGGTCAGTGGGGGATCTGCCCACAACACACTGATCTTGTATCAGGCCAACACTCAACGAGACTGTCGTCTAATTTCCCTGGACTACTTCCTACATCCCTGGGGTTCGGTACCTCTTCGTTGTTGTCCTCCATCTCCCCAAGGTCGGTGGCCAACAGCAGCCACAGCAGCTTGTCGGGGTCTCAGTCAGCCATGAGGCAGTCGAAGCAGCTCCTTGGCGTCTCTGGCGGTCCTGGGAGTGCTAACCAGTCCTCAGTAAGGCCAGGGTCCTCTTCAGGCATCCAGCAGGATGCATCTGTCTCTCTTGGCAGCTCCAGTCCATCTGAGTTGCCAGCTGACTTTTTATACTTCCTCTTCTTGTACCACTCCTCTGCTTCCTGCAGGTGGGGCTTGGCCTTCCTAGATCTGTTGAGCAGGTGGCGGGTTGTGGTCCCTCCCTGTCAATCTCAGAGGGAGGCCTGCCTCCTCACTAAAGAACCCCAGCAATAGGTAGGTGTAGGGAAAGAATTTTTGCAGCAAAGACGGAGTAGTGTTGAGATTATACAACAGCAGGTTGGGGATGAAGCTGGAGACAAAGCAGGAGCAAAGGGCTTGAGCAGGCTTGCCTGCAATGGAGGTCTCTTAAGGATCCATTTACAATACAAAAACATTGAAGTCAGGAGACTAGGTTACAACATATTTGTCCCTTGACCCAGTAAAAAAAAACATAAGATTTGTAATGTAGATGTGGGATTTAACTGAATTCTAGTTATATGATTCAGTTAGGTCTTGGCTATGCTACAAATTAAAATGCTGTATCTGGGTCAGGGGACAACTGTATTGTACTGGAGTCACTTTGAAACTTGTTTTTGTCACGTAGATTGGTCCTTGTAGTGGTGTGCACATCACACCATCGAGAGCAGTCAGAGAAGGGAAAAGAAAACACAGGAATGTGGAAGAAAGGGGATCTGATCCCAAGGCCCACCAGAGAAATAAGTTCTATTACAACTATCATGTTCTTTGGCAGGGGTGTCTGCTGGTGACTCTTCTGATGTTTTGTGAACAGCTTCAGCCCATGTTTGCCAACGAGACTTCTGTGGGTTGTGGTTCAGCCATATGACCCTTGGAACTAGGGTAAGTTCACATGAGTTTGAGTATCTGTGCAAAAAATTCCAGCTCTCATCTCTAGATTAGAAATGTTTGCAATGGGCCTTGGGAAACTTATCTCAGACTTCAGCAAGTCTTGTAACTCTCAATAAGATCAGTTATCAGAGGAAGAGACAGAATAGAGTTTGATATTATAATATACTTTTCAAGCATCTTGCAGTGTTCTACAAAGCAGAGAAATAGATGGCAGAATGTCAACAAATGTTTAGACAAATAGCACAGCCATTATTACCCAACTACAGCTCACAGCCTTGGGTTAGGCATTAGAACCTGTTCATCGGGAGAGGAAATATTGACCAGGACACTGGTTTATTTCATAATCTTTTCAAAATGTACCAGGGGTCTGCAATTTAAAACTAACAGAAGAGGACTTTGATTTAAGATTTTGTCTAAAGGATTGATTTCAATATATTAAAATTCTACTCTGTACTTGTCTGACAGTGGCAGGGAAGATGAGCAATGGAGATGTAAACTTTGTCATTAAGTCCAGCTGTTTGATTACTTTCTTAGAGCCCTGAGAAGAGGGCCAGAAAGGGTTACACAACTAGCAGACTAATTGACCTGGATTCAACCTTTAGAGACATATTCGTAGATAATGTTTGTGGTTTTGTGTGTTTACATATAAATTATTAGAGATTGACAATGTAACCAAACGGTTCCTGTCTATCACTGTATTCTGTTAATTCAGAGATCAAAAAGGCTGTTCACATTTAAATGAACTTTGAATGTAGTGATATCACGGTCTTCATTTCTCTTTGAAGTATGTAATAAACTACCTGTAAATGGCAGGAGACAGGCAATTGCCTTATGTTAATCCATGTAGCTAATTACCGGTGATGCTTAGGAAACAGGAGGTTACTTCAAAGCTAGGATAATTGCCTATTGTTCACCCAAGGACTGCACACTGTCAAGAGACTATCATGGCCTGCCAGTGATCTATATAATGAAATCCTGGGCCCTGATCCTTTCATCTCAGATCTGCTTAAGCTTCATCGGGGAAGTTTGAGTTGTAAGACTGAGATCTCCAGTTCCATTCTGGATCGCTCGGATATTGGACATCGGACTATAAGCTAATGAACTAATTCTGGAAAGGACTCTTTACAACTCTAAAGCTCACTTTCTCTACTATGAAACTGACCTAAGAACTCTATTCAGACCTGTATGTATAATGATCTTTTAACCAATACTCTCTCTTTTCTTTTTTAAGAAATGTTAGTTTAGTTAATAAGAATTGAATAAGAATTTAGTTAATAAGAAATAAGTATGTATTTGGGTAAGATCTGAAATATTCATTAACCTGGTGGGTAATATGTCCAATCCTCTGGGATTGGTAGAACTTTTTATATGATGAATAATATTTTCAGTATTCCTTAGCATACTTGACTTGGCTGTCTGGGTGGGAGCTCAAGGCTGGATTGCTTTAAGGGAACTGTATTTCTGGCTTCTGGGTAACCAGTAAAGTATTGTAGAAGCTGTTTTGCTACTAGCTTGGTGAATCTACGTATTAGAATAGCCACCAGTTTGGGGGATTGTCTGCCCCATTTTTTGCAGTTTGCCCTAACTGAGCAGACTCAGTGTGGCCCCCTTAGGACTCTGGTCACAAGGGCACTGAGAAAGCAGTGTTAATATTTCATGGTGAGGACAGTAGCCTCTCTGTCCTTCAGCTATACAACTGGCCCACCTTACAAACAGAAGGGATGAGACATAGCTAAAATAATACAAAGGGAGTATATCATGTAGAATATGTACAGAAATAAATCAGTGTTGATTAAAAATCTATGTTGACAATATTGTGTTATGCTTGTTAAAAAAAAAAAGAGAGAGAAAATCTAGCTATTTAAATGATCCACACTGGCTAATAGTAGGTAGATGCACAGGAAAATTTCAAGCCCTGCTCTTCGCTGTACATCCAAACTGTGAGGAGTGAATGAAGAAGCGCTGCCTCAGTGGAGAACTCAACCCCTGACCCCACAGGCGCCAATTTTTTTCAGCACTGGTGGGCGCTCACACCCCCTCCCACCCCCGCGTCCCCACCCCTGCCCCTATTGGATCCCTCCCCAAATCCCTGCCCTGGTCCCCCCTTGTCTCTCCCAGGCTTGCTGTGCGAAACAGCTGTTTCACGGTGCCAAGCGCTGGAAGGGAGGGGGAGAAGCAGGATGCAGCAGTGTGTTCAGGGGAGGAGGCGGAACGGAGGTGAGCTGGGGTGGGGAGCTGCCAGTGGGTGCAGAGCACCCACGAATTTTTCCCCGTGGGTGCTTCAGCCCCGGAGCACCCACCGAGTCGGCGCCTATGCCTGACCCTCCTGTGACCCAAACTGGATGTTTTGGCGTTGCCAGCTGGTTTTTTTTATTTATTTATTAATGGGGATATCCTAGCTCCTAGAACTGGAAGGGACCTTGAAGGGTCATCGAGTCCAGCCCCCTGCTTTCACTAGCAGGACCAAGTACTGATTTTTGCCCCAAATCCCTAAGTGGCCCCCTCAAGGATTGAACTCACAACCCTGGGTTTAGCAGGCCAATGCTCAAACCACTGAGCTATCCCTCACCCCTGGTTCATGTTTCTTGCTGAGATATGAGGGCAGGAAAAATGGGATGTTTGGATTGAGTGGCTACCTTGCCTCCTGGCCACTTTCCCTGTCTTCAAGGACCCAGCTGTTTGTGCTAGGTTCTGTTGCTGCTGCTGCTCCTCACAGACTATCACAGCACCCCTTAGTTGCTGCCTACTTACCTCCCACAATTTTAATTGTAATCATGGGTTCAGGGAGACTGAATAATTTTATGGGAGTGGTCTCCCTGCAATTAAATGGGTCTGAGCAGGGCCCTGAATGAGATTTAGTCAGCCATCAGAGGTAGTAATGAGCAGATTTGTGCAAAGACCTTTGTGATGTGACAGAAACAGCATATAAGCATGGGGAAGAACACAAAAAGAAACAACCGGGAAACTCATTGGGCATACTGTGTCCAGCCTTCAGTTCAGGCGTGCAGACTGTTATCCTTTGGTTAAAGCAGGAGACTGGGAATCAGGATTCCTAGGTTCTGTTTACAGCTCTGCCACTGAGTTTGAGTGACTATGGGCAACTCATTTGGTCACTCAGTTCCTCATGTTATCCAGCAGCTGTCCCTATTTCACACATATTTGAAAAATGCTTTGAGATGAAAGGTGCTACACATTTAAATCCAAAGTAAGATGAGCACTAATAAAATCTCCTTCATTTTGGGTTTCCTGCTATTGGGATTTCACCCAATTTCTAGCACCCTACACAGTGTAAAAGATATTTTTGTGCTTCAGACTGTTTGGGGGCTTTCTCTGGAGCCAGTCATCTAATGATCTTCTCCAATGCCTGTTGAAGTAAATGGAAGTTTTTCTGTTGTCTCTAATGACCACTGGATTGGAAAATCAGAGGCAATGGAAAATAATCCAAAAAAATAAGAATCAGAATTGTTGGTTTGCAAAGTTAGTATTCAAAGTTGCGCTATGTATTCCACAATTCTGTGATCATGGGATTTTCTGAAGCATATACCTGTGCTGCAGAATTGTGTTCCAGGATCTAAGCTTTCATTTGAAATGCAGTGTTTCTAGCCCTCATAGTTGTGAAGAGAGCCTTAAAAATGGGAACGGACTATAAAAGCCCCAGGCAGCCCCTACCCAACTGCCAAAGCCTCCCCACCATTCCCCCCCCACCACACACACACCCCATACCATTTATGAGGCATTTGTACATTGTCAGTAAAACATCTGCACCAGATTGAAACCTGAAAATGTGAGGACTGCATAAAAATAAATGAAGGCAGTATGAAAATAACCCAGGGGTGCAGTACTGACTGAATTATTCATTCTCACATGCAATACAAAGAAAAACTCAATGTTAATTTAAATGAATCTGCTATGAGTTACCACTCTGTCTCTGCAGAGTGCTTCAGAATACATGAAGCTGTGCTGCAGAATTGAGGTTCAGCTTGGTCTGGAGTACACGGGAAATTACCAGTCTTTAATTTCAAGAATAAATGTTTCATAGAAGAATGGAATGATAGAAAACTCATAAAAATCACCTACTGCTGGAATTTTGGACTGTTCCTAATACTGTAGATGGGAATTAATCTTTCATATTTCACTTACATGTATGGTGTTTTGTAGACTTACTTATGGGATGGATTTTTCTTGTTATATATGATGTTTTTATGTCATTATTCCTGACGTATATTTACATGTTTTGTTGTTTTTTAATTTATAGATTAAAAGATTTAAAGCTTATTTTCAATTGTTGATATTGGACTCTCCTGTGTTTGTTTCTGCCACACCCACGGAGTTCTCTAAGGCCCATGGTTCTCTTTATTTCTCTCCTTTTGTTTCCTCCTATATCTCAAGTCTTCAGATCACATTGCCAATCCTTCCAGCAGAGGAGAGCTGAACATGGTTCCTTCCTTGAGCTAGCTGGAGAGTTTGGAAGCCCCTTCTTATGGGCTGATCATATTACCTCTGGTCCCAGTTCCTGCTGCCCTGGACAAGAACTACTATCGTTGAGTAGTAGGGCTTTGCACTGTGACTAAATCACTGAGTTAATCCATGTGTCTTTGTTTTACTAATGTCTCCATCAAGGCTTGAACTAAGGGGGAAACAGTGGGACTATTCCAGCAAGCTCTGTCCACAAAATAAGTTCCACCCATAAATTACAAAATGTGACATCACTTGCAGTAAATTGTACAGTTACTCAAAATATAAATATGCATACCCTCAACTCCACTGAGTTCCTTGAGATTGGTGGAGCTTGAATATGGCTCTGGGGTTTTCTTGGATTTGGCTTCCCCTTGGTGGAGCTCAGATACCCTGCTTGGTTTGGTTTGGCTCATTCTTGATTTGGAGGGGGAGGGGGGAACGTGGTGTAATCTCCCAGCGCCACCCACTCTTGGTAACAAAATGGGTTGTAAATCAAAGTAAAATGTTCAGATCTATGATTATCTTCCCTCTCTTTTCTTACAGGAGGAATGAAATATTTAACATTAACATTTAAATCATCATCACTAGATATCTACTTTAATGCAGATTTCCCATGACCCATAACAAGGTTGATATCTTCTCATTATCCATATGTGTCATTCCAGGTGTCCGTAATTAAGCTTCCAATCATTAATATTAACAATTTGCCTGACTCATTTCTTAATAATTCCTACATCACAGTGTGGTCTAAGTGCCTATAAACAAGGTTACAAAATATTGCATACCCGCCTTCAAGTCCCATCCAACTTGCAGTGTACCCATACCCTTGTGGTCACTTGTTTACTTGCACAGAATGAGAGGGCATAAACTGTGACTTGGAGTTAGGTCTTTTGGCCTACATTATTTCAGCTAAAAACGCACCCTTAGCAATGATTTACTCCACTATGGTGGGTTAGGCTGCCCCTTAAGGGTAATAAGGCTAAGAAACCAGGAATGAGTCCCAGATGGGAGCTGAGCTGGCATAGAGGCCATTAGCCCCCTTTTTTTTTTTTTTTTGTAACTTTTCTATTAACGCTGGAAGGGGACTGGACCAAGAGGTGGTCTGGCTAGAGCGATAGGCCAAGGAAGCTGCAGAGGGGTGAGAAATGAGGCTGGACAAGATGGGCTAGAGTGAGGGAACACCTGCAATATTGTGCCCTAGCATGAAGGGGTGCTCTAGCGGTGAACGTGCCCCATAACACCTAGTGTAACTGAGGGGTAGAATTTAGCACTATATTTTCATTACAGGATTAAGTGGGGCAGGGAAAAGGGCCCAACCCTGCTCTCAATGGTGCAAGTTTGGGTCCTCAGAGACGAAGCCCTTATATGTATTAACAATACTAATTTGCCTGACTGTCTTTGACCCAAACTTCCACCCACATTGCTTTCTGCCTGGCTGCAGCCCGCCAACCCAGATGTGGCACATTTCAGTGGTACTGTGTATACTGTAGCTATAGAAGCACTTTGGAATTCTTTGGTATGAAAAGTACTACAGTACACACACATATTACTGATTTTAATTATTAATCATTACAATTAGCAATATCTTTGATAATTAGAAAATGGGAGAGATGGGACTATGAAAGTTCTGGAGATGGTGACTGTTGACTACAGTACATGAAAACTCCCTAATATGAAAGCTTTTTTAAAAAAGTGAATGGTAGTTACATCAATGTGAATAGCTTGTCTGTTGGACATTAGCATGATGATTTATCCAACAAAATGGGAGACAAGTTCTATAACAGCTGCTACACAGTGGAAAAGAGTTCCAAATATCCAAACACTACTTAAAATAGAAATAATAGCTAAGGGGAGAGCGAACATCATCTTGTACACTAACTGGGTGATGATTACATTTCCTGGGCTCCTAGGGCTAGTGTAATTAAGGGAGAAAGCAGCATTTTAAGAACCTACAATTTAGTAATCTGAATTTATAACAATCTTCCCAACAGATTCTTTTGTTCTTGGAGCATTTCCTTCTTTTTGCCTTGCTAATTTGCACAGCAGTACCCACACTGCTCTTCCAGCTTTTTGCTATTTCACAGCAGATCTGGCTCTTGAGCTCTGGCAAGATTCTAGGTTTCTTCCCCCCGCTGCCCCATGTGATTATCAAGCCAAGCAGGATTTTACAAGGTTTGGCTCAGTTTTAACCTCCATACTACTACTACATAGCCTATAGTCAACTTCACAAAGTATGTCGGGTGGTAAGAGAATTATTACAGCCCACTTAATAATTTAGGGCTAGGTTGTACTGCTAGGGTGTGGATCCATGTTGGGGCAGTGTGGTGCTCTGGAGGGCACTGTGACTGTGGCAGGCTTCATGCTTCCCAACACTCCTCGTGTGCAATGGGAGTTGCCTGCTGCACCATGCTTACCATCCTCCTCTCACTACTTGGGCTCTCACATAAAGGCACAGCACAATCTGGTCTCTAACTGTTAGTCAAAAGTTCCATTTGGCAAAACACACTTTTCTCCTCAGGCCTGGGAGAGCTACTTGGGCAAGGATTTCTGGAGAGCTTATAACCTGGATAGAATCACAGAAGGTCATTGGTTTACAAGCACTGCAGCTATGAGGCTGTAATCAGAGCTTCTGCCTAGCATAAACTAATGCAGGAGATGAGTTTCTGGCATTTTTTTTTTCCTAAGCTACCTAAGCCAGGATGAGACAAAAGTTGCTATTTGTTTGCTCTGATTCACTACCACTCATCCCACTCCTACCCATGTGCATAAACTCATCTAGAGGTCAGGTGAATGCAATCCACAGAGAGAAGAGATTGTTCATAGAAGACATTCTCAAGAATTTTTGTACAGTTGGTATGGGGAAAGGAGAGAAGTGAGGCTTTTGATTTCTTTTAGAAAAATTTTCAGGAAAGTGTTAATTTCCTCACATCCAAACAGTTGACTTTTTTAAAATCAACCCAGAATTCCAAGACCTTGTGTTCAAAATAATAATTACAACATTCTAATAATATCCTCTTACAGACCTAACTATCTTAGCCACAGTCCGGATCATATACTGGGGGGTGGGATGAACATGCAGAGGACATTAAAAATTCTAGACAGTCCCCCCGACTTGTAGTGTTTCCTCTGTTTTGTTCCATCCAAGGGCAGGCTTTATTCCTCCACCTTCCGCCCCTCTACAAAGGGAATGTCCAGGAGAGTCAGCAGTTGAAATCCACAGGTCCTGTAGAGATCTGTGTATTCCTTTCACACAGGCCTTGTGCCTCAGCACTTCCTCTCCTGCTCCCTGCCTTCTCTGCTGCCACTGCTCTGGAACTAGCCTCCTCAGCCATAACCAGCCTTAGCTTTTTGGAGTGGCCCTGCATAACTGTTTTGAATTTAACTGATTTCTCCCTGAGATTAACCATTCTCCTCAAGCCTGGGTGATAATCAGCGATCTTATTCTTTGAGCACTGCTTCATGTAACTAACTCATTTTATATTAAATGAGAGGGGGCTCTTTGAGACATCACCAGCCTCCTCTGACGCAGAAGAGAAGTGAAGCTGCTTTTACTAATCTCTGCACAGTCATCAACATTACAAATAAAATGTCCAAGTACTGCTTTTTAAATAAGCCTGGGCACCACTATGGCCCCCATCCTCTCTAAGGATCTGTAGAAGACCAGGCTAGGGTGCCTCCTCATGGCTGAACATAGCAGGCTCTCTCCTCTTTAACACTCTCTTCCAATGGTCACTCTGGCCCCGCAGTGGTCTCTCTTCTCATAACTCAGCCTTCCCACCAACACAATTTAGTCCACTCCTCAGGGTAAAAGAGTCCAACAAATAGATACTGATGTCCTTACAAAAAGTTCTTGGGCCCTGTTCTTGTTGCACCCTTCTCTCAGGTCTCTCCACCATCTTTGTCTCCTTCTCGGGGCCTCACACCACCTTACCAGTGGCTGGTAAGGGAACCCAGGCCATCCCACCACACCAGGTTACAGTCCACGGACCCTAGGATAGGCAGCCAAGGTTCACTGCACCAGACTTTTTCTTACCAAGCATTTCTCATGCCTTCTGCCCAACAACCTCTCCAGGTTCACCCTAGCTTCAGGCCCAGGACTCTCAGGACCCTCCCTTGGAATCCCCCAAGAAAATCCCAAACCAACAGGTATAAACTTAAACCCACTTCTGTCCTACATGGGTTTGACCTTTCATCCCTTTCTAGCTTCCCCTGTTTATTCCCCAGTTAAATCCCTCCCTGGACTCTCTCCCTGAAGGCAAGTTGCTGCCTTTTTTTCAGGGCACACCTCCTCCATCCCAGTGGCTGCCCTAAGACTATGTACACACTACAGCTTATGCTGGTATAAATTATGTCACTCAGGTATGAATAAGCCACTTCCCTGAGCGACATAAGTTACACCTGCCTAAGCGCCGGTGTGGACACCGCTATGTGGGCGGGAATGCTTCTCCCGCCGACATAGCTACCGCCACTCAGGGGGGCTGGAGATTTGTTTTATCATAAATTCCAAATCCACAACTGGAGAGACAGCTGTCAAGCTATAGTTTCATTTCCAAGACTAAAGATTTTAGATTTTTCCACTCATTCCCTTTCACTCAAGACTCTTACCCACTTTTTTGACCCTGTTAGCATATGGGAGTCTTTGGTGCCTAGTTACATCTTTCTTTTCTTTTCTTAAGCTTAGGAACTAAGGGACCAATTCATTCGTGAACTCATGTTTGCACCCATGTAGGAACAGAGGGGAGGCAATTTTCACCTTCTTTATTCAGGGGCTGCAGGGGCCAGTAGTTCACTGGCATAGATGATCTACCCTGTTTCATTGTACAAGAACAAGGGGATATCAAATGAATTGGAAAGGTAGCAAAAACCAAAACTGATAAAGAAAAAAATCAAACAACACTATTGGCCTGAGGAACTCCTTGCCAGAAGATATCATGGTGGCCAAGAATTTAGCAGGATTCAAAAAGGGATTAGACATTTATATGGGTGTGTAGCAAGGCATCGACTCACCGGCACGGCACCTCCTGCTGGACATCCTGGGAATTAGCTCTTTCCAGCCCAGAGCACTCTCTGCAGGCTGGTGTCTCGCCTGCTGCTGGCCCCCATGTCCCTACCGGATCCCAGTGCCCCTTTACCTTGGGGTGCTGCCCCCTGGCAGTGTCCCCACACTTTGGGTCTCCCCTCCCCGGAGAATCCCCGACCCTCTATCCCCCACCTTGCTTCAGTCTATGGCCACTGCCAGTCATCAACTAGCTCCCATTCCCTGGGGCAGACTGCAGCGTGAATGCCACTCACCATAGGCAAGAGGGGTTTGGACCTGCTGCCCTTGCCTAACCCCCGGACTGCACCTCTGCAGCCCCAGTGCCTTCTCAAAGCCCTTCCCAAGGCCTGAAGCCTGGGGAGTTGCCTGGCTGGAGCTTCCCAGCCCCTCTAGCCTTTCCCCAGCCCTGCTCCACTCAGGCACTCTATTGCTCTCAGGCAGCCAGGCCCTTCTCTCTTGTAAGCTAAAGGGAGACTATTTTAGCTTCTGGCCTCAGCCCTCTTATAAGGGTCAGCTGGGCCCTCATTCAGCTACCCACTCAGCTTCCCCAGCTGTTCTTAATCCCTCTTACTCTGCTGCAGCCCTCGCCGGATCGGGTGACCACCC